CCGCAGCCGACCGACGCCGATAAGACTCCCGCCGTGTCAGCACTTTGGAAAAAGGTATGGCGTCGAGCGTAACGACCTACAAAATTTTTACTGGCAGCACTACTACTCCCAGTTGTACTTTATGTATATGAGTCATACGGCGTCGGCCGGCAGGGGGAGGCCATCGCGGCATTTTGACAGACGGACGGACACACACACAATCACACTCACTTCCATGCCGGGACCACCTTGCGACTCTGCTCCGTTTAATTTGCTCATGCATTATTCAGCCGTTTTATCCGCGCTAATCGGTTGCTTATTTGTGCTATATGATCATGTTGTCGACCGTTTCGCTTGAATTCAGTCTGTAACCCCCGACCCACCCTTTTCCCCCTTTTTTTTCTTTCACCTTAAGCCTACAACAAGAACCGAGCAATAATAACGAAATCGTGTCGTTTAACCTTGACGCGGGCGACACGAATTGTAAACACACAATACACACACCCACAACAACCGCAACAACAAACAGCGTGCGCGCTTTTTGTTTGGCAGTGTGGGTCCCTTTATTCCTCGTAACCCAACCCCATGCCCCCTTGCATACCACAATAACCTGGAATTGAGCATGATGGAATGATGGTGGCATTCCCCTGCTCTGCCGCCTGCAGCGCGGCGCCATACATATTCCGGTCTCGTCGCTGGACGGGGCCGGGGCCGGCGCCGCCCCCACGCCGCCCTCGCGCCTCCCCAGCGCCGCCCCCCGCGCCACGAGGAATGGCTCCCTGAAGGGAGAGTCGTCAGCCGTGTCCGAGGAGAGCACTCCACATACACGTACAGGGCCGACGTGGGCCAGCCAGGGCGGATCTACAAAAAGAGGGATGGAGGGATAAATGAAGACTCCTGCCGCTGCTGTAACCCGCTACAGCCTAGAGCCGTAGAGTCGTTTGAGAACCGCCAAAGCCCTACACTTGGCACTAAGAAAAGAGTATAATAAAAAGTAGGCCAAATTTTGAAACAAATAAATTTTGCCTTTGGAGACTTATTAAAATTTTACATGCTCTTT